TCAGCAATGTTGATGCAATGTTGCACATGTTTACATTCAAAATAAGTTGTAATTAATTCAAATTCTTAGTCTCATTTAATGTATTTAATGTACATTTTATATAACAACATGTTTCCTAAGTCGTAGACGACTATGTTTGTTACTACGCTGTACCACAGCGGCAATAAAGGACGATAACCATCCTGACCTTTGTCACCTAGGACATTTTTGTCACTGGACCTTCTCAAATAGTAGTTGAGTACCCCTGGCCTACAGTAACATAAACTAACTAAATTGCTATTGTGTTGTTTGAAATAAAATAAAAATAGTATTATAATGTTACCCAAGGCCTTCATAAACACAACCAAATTATTACTTTTGCGATAGCATACACTGAGTGTACAAAACGTTAAACAGACTGACAAGGTGAATCCAGGTGAAAGCTATGATCCCTTATTTATATAATTTGTTAAATCCACTTCAATAAGTGTAGATGAAGGGGAGGAGATAGGTTTAAGCATGTTTTTTAAGCATTGAGACAATTGAGACATGGATTGTGTATTTGTGCCATTCAGAGGGTGAATGGGCAAGACATAAGATTTAAGTGCCTTTGAACGGTGTACGGTAGTAGAGGCTAGGGGCACCGGCTTGTGTCAAGAACTGCAACGCACCTGGGTTTTTCACACTCGACAATTTCCTGTGTGTATCAAGGGCGGTCCATCGAGGCCCAGCGGTTCTAGTGTTAAGGTGAGGACCTTAAAAGGTTATGAAAGAAGAATACACTACAAAACAGTTGTTGGGATGTGAAAACGTTGATGCTCAATATCTCAGAACTAAGCTTTGGCAGAACGAACCTTATACTCCCAAGGTCACGTCTTGTGAAGGAGTTGTCTCTATCCTTTCATAATCCAGAACACAAAATTCTACATCGCCACTGTACAATTTTCCCTGCAGTTCTGGGTGCCTCGTCACCCATGCAGTTAACCTCTTTATCCATTATGTGGTTAATTTGTGTATCTATGCAGTAACCCACTTTCTCAGCCAATCACAGTTTAGCATTTCACACATCTCACTCCCCCTCCCCCTTCAAACCAGAGTGAATTACTTTGCCTACGGAGAAGGTGTCCATGTGAAGAGTGTCTCTAACTGTTGTGTGTGCATTCAGATACTAGTGAGTACTGTTTCACCAACATGTTTATGCTATCGTAATTATATTCAAAGCCCGAGTGTTAACAGCCTGTAGTAGAGTTTATTCCACCCTTTATCGGTACAGGTAATGTTAGCTGCTGGTGCAGCTGTTAGCTTACTATGTCATATTCCCCTTTGATGTCTGTATAGGTAGGAAAGCCAACTATTTTGCCATATTGCGTGTAAATACTTATGCCTCATGTATATTACTTATTATGTAGTTGTAACATTATGTGGTCGTGTGTAACTGCAGTGGCATCTCTTTATTAGTGTTATGCTACAACTAAGTGTTACATGCTACATCATGCTAGTGTGCATGCCTTTGCCTCATGGCCCCAGTGTGGTTGTGCACGCAGGTACACACCCTTCTTATACAAAACATATATAGAAACGCAACATGTAAAGTGTTGGTCCCATGTTTCATGAGCTGAAATAAAAGATGGCAGAAATGTTCCATATGCACAAAAAGCTTATTTCTCTCAAATGTTGTGCACAAATTTGTTTGCATCCTTCTTAGTGAGCATTTCTCCTTTGCCAAGATAATCCATCCACCTGACAGGTGTGGCATATCCAGAAGCTTATTAAACAGCATGATCTTTACACAGGTGCACCTTGTGCTGGGGACAATAAAAGGCCACTCTAAAATGTGCAGTTGTGTCACACAACACAATGCGACAGATGTCTCAAGTTCTGCGGGAGCGTGTAATTGGCCTGCTGACTGCAGGAATGTCCACCAGAGCTGTTGCCAAAGACTTGAATGTTCATTTCTCTACCATAAGCCACCTCCAAAGTTGTTTTAGAGTATTTGGCAGTATGTCCAACCGGCCTCCCAACCGCAGACCACGTGTAACCACGCCAGATCAGGACCTCCACATCCTGCGGGATCGTCTGAGACCAGCCACCTGGACAGCTGATGAAACTGTGGGTTTACACAACCAAAGAATTTCTGCACAAACTGTCAGAAACCATCTCAGAGAAGCTCATCTGCGTGCTCGTCGTCCTCACCAGGGTCTTGACCTGACTGCAGTTCGACGTTGTAACCAACGTCAGTGGGCAAATGCTCACATTTGATGGCCACTGGCACGCTGCAGAAGTGTGCTCTTCACAGATAAATCCTGGTTTCAACTGTACCGGGCAGATGGCAGATAGAGTGTATGGCATCGTGTGAGCGAGTGGTTTGCTGATATCAACGTTGTGAACAGAGTGCCCCATGGTTGTGGTGGGGTTATGGTATGGGCAGGCAGGCATAAGCTATGGACAACAAACACAATTGCATTTTATCAATGGCAATTTGAATACACAGAGATACTGTGAAGACATCCTGAGGCCCATTGTCGTGCCATTCATCCCCCAACATCACCTCATGTTTCAGCATGATAATGCACGGCCCCATGTTGCAAGAATCTGTGCTCAGTTCCTGGAAGCTGAACATGTCCCAGTTCTTCCATGGCCTGCATACTCACCAGACATGTCACCCAGTGAGCATGTTTGGGATGCTCTGGATTGACGTGTACGACAGTGTGTTCCAGTTCCCGCCAATATCCATCAACTTCGCACAGCCATTGAAGAGGAGTGGGACAACATTCCACAGGCCACAATCAACAGCATGATCCACTCTATCCGCATGAGGCAAATGGTGGTCACACCAGATACTGACTGGTTTTCTGATCTACGCCCTACTTTTCTTTTTACGGTATCTGTTACCAACAGATGCACATCTGTATTTCCAGTCATGTGAAACCCATAGATTAGGGCCTAATTAATTAATTTCAATTGACTGATTTCCTTAAATGAACTGTAACTCCCAAGTGGAGCAGCGGTCTAAGGCACTGCATCTCAGTGCTTGAGGCGTCACTACAGATCCCCTGGTTCGATTCCAGGCTGTATCACAACCGGCCATGATTGGGAGTCCCATAGGCCAGCGCACAATTGGTCCGGGTTTGGCCGGTGTAGGCCGCCATTGTAAATAAGAATTTGTTCTTAACTGACTTGCCTAGTTAAATAAATAAATAAAATAAAACTCTGTTGCATGTTGTGTTTATATTTTTGTTCAGTGTAGTTAATTGACGTGTGAAGGCTGTATGTACCAGCCTATTTCAGCCATTTAACTGTACTACGTGGTGTCTGTGGTAGTTATAGCTGTTATCTCCTGTAAATTAACCCTGTTATTATTTCACTAACCAGTCATCAGCATTGTAGTGCATAGATGATGTGTATAAGTATACGTACAGTATATGTTAAGCTAGTCTATTTCTATTACAGCTGTACTGTATGTATTCTTATGCCATTATTTAACTGTCTACTCTAAATGCCCTGTTTACTCATTGCTGTGTATTTTTGTTTATTCTGTAGAGCCACACACATTTACAATATTTCCATGAAACATCATAAACTTGATCCCTGGATTGCAGACATATTTTTAATACAAGATTAAGACCAGCATTGTACATCCAACAAAATAGTTTAATAACTCACAAGCAATGACAATTATGCCGCTTTTATTCCAGGACTATACACACAGTCAGTCAAGCAATGAATTCAAAACACTCAAACAATCAAAGCGTCTAGAGGCTGATACTTTCATTTATGGATAAACAAAAGTTTGCAAAACATGTACTATAATTGCAAACGTGAAATCAGCAGCAGCAGTTATCTTTCCTTCCAATTATATACATTTTCCTTTGAGTAATAACAGATAGCTAACTAAAAAGGTTTTGGTTTGTCTGGTGATGGCAAACTTAAAGAAGCAAACACCAATGTAAGTATTGATCACTAATTTACCCCATATTCCAATCTAAACGATTTGGACAAAAACAAGTCCATAAACCAGGGGTACTTAACTACTATTTGAGAAGGTCCAGTCACACAAAATTCCTAGGTGGCAAAGGTTCGGATGGATATTGTCATTTATTGGCGTAGTAGCAAACCCCCACCTCGCGACCCCAAACTCTTCGACAAATGTTTTTAAGCTCATCTCCTGCTATTATACAAATTATTCCATGTTTTATGTGCGTTTATATGATACCTGAGTGACTCAACAAAATCAATGTGTCCCCGTGGGTGTAGAGGCCCCCATGGGCACATCATCTGGCCATGATAACTGCAAGATTTAGATAACTGGTTAGCATAACTTACCTACCTAGCTAACATGGGCTAGTTGTTCAACTGGACATTTCTGACAGGTTAATGATATAACAAGAGGAAAACTGTCCATGCAGTACCAAATTTCAAGATTTCACCTTGTGCATTCTACTAACTCTTAACAGCATTACATTAAAAGCCTGACAGAGTCCCGCCTGTTGAGTATGGCTGCCATAAACCAACCATTCAGTCCAAAACCTTGCAAAACGCCAATCCATTCCCTTAGCCAGGGCAAAAAAACGTAAACTCTTTCAGAATATTATTCAATCAAGCTTCACACTGTCAATACCAAGATACCAAGTAAAATCTTTACAAAAAACTATTTCAAGAGGATCAATATTATTCATTCATATGCAATATACACAAACACACATGCATGCGCCTACACACTTCTGGCTTCTGGAACACACAAACAAACAAAGGAAATAGCAAAGTGTCTCACGTTGGCTTGAACAATGACCAGGTAGCGTGTTCTCTCTTCGTAGTTTAGTCTCTCAGCCAGAACAATGTACCCATAGAGAGTATTCCCTACAACCACAGTTTCATTAGACACCTGGGAGAGAGAGAGAGAGAGAGTGAGAGAGAGTGTTCACTCATACTTTTTATTAACAACAGACTTTGTTCCACTATCCTTTAGTCCTATTGCTTAAATAAGTCACAGTCTGCAGTCAGAAGGCATTACATCCACGTACTGGGTCGTTGGGGTTGTACTGGATGCCATATTCTATCTGTCCGTTAGGCCCATCATCGATGTCTGTGGCCCCATTGTCTCCACCGAAGCCTGTAAATATGATGGTTCCGGCAGGAGTGAGCTGGAGGCAGAGATAAAGAGAGCAAACTGTCAACAGGCATGTCACTCTGTCTGGACATTGTAACAGCTCTATGTTACATCTCACAGAAATTACTACCCCTCCCAAGATCACAGGGACACAGTGTGTCTTCTATAGAAGATGGCCAAATACTGCCAGAAGTGTTAGAAGTTTAGACCTTTGTTGTTATGCTATAGAAAGAGTGAATTAATTAACTGATTTGAACTGAAAACATTGTCGTCAGCAGCAATGAATGAGTGTTTCTCTGGGGGCCTCTGCACCCCACTGACAGCCATAACAACCTCTCAGAGAGATGCTGGAGAGAGAGGGGCCTCGAGGGGAGTTCAGCTCAGTTCAGGAGCAGTTTGACAGCAGCGGTGTCTGACTCAGAAAGCTGTTCAGGGAGTAGTGTTTCCTGGGATAACATACCCTCAGTGTGAAGTACATAAAACAAAGGAAGTGTCCACAAAGGAGACAACAGTCATGATTGTCTACTCTAGACAACACAGTGTCTGACTCTGAGCCCCTCGATACAGGTGTCATGTCAAAATCAGGTTTTGCTAGCTGAAATAATAAGACATCTCAAATGTCTAGTGTCATTAACGTAATGTAGTTGTACAGTGATGACATTTAGGAAAAGAGACAAACAGAAAGAACTAGCGTATTTGTCAGTGACACTCAATATGAAATTAAATGTATTAAACTATAACTTCTATTTTTATCTGACAGCTGGGATCTATGATGTAGGAGAACCATGGTAATTTCAGTATGAGTTATATCTTCAAACGTAGGAGATTAAAATCAATCTTCAAAGGAGTATGCAAATATACACATAATTTGCTTGTTCGGTTCTACAGACCTTTTGGTCAAAATGCAAGTTTCAGTCAAAATAATCCTTGTTTGATATGGGTAGTTAACAGCTTGTTAAAGCAAATTTGTATAGGTGTAGATATAGATGTAGATATCACTGACTGATTTTGCTAAAACAGATTTTAGAATTCTAAACACAGTGATGCCTAACACAAAATAGCATTTGATATTCCACTGTGCTCTCTGTCTGGACTGGTAACGAGAGAATTGACTCACACAGCTATCACTTTGTCTTAAATCAAATAGAAAAACACTCACACACACACATACAAAAGCACATAGATTCACATGTAGTATTACACACATGCGCATGTACAAGCACACGCGCACACACACACATACAGAGCTGATGTTGTTAGTCAAAAGCATCATTGTTGAGCTTTCGGGTGCACACAGGGAATATGGTGACATCTATGTGACATCTATGACATCTATATCATGGAGAGCACACAGACAGCAATCCCATGATTTACTGGGAACATGCAAACTAGCGTGCCACTGTCCATGTGTCAGAGCAATTTCATGCACCAGAGAAATAACAGATATTCTGAAGATCTGAGGATCTGCTATTGTTTTATTATCCTGGGAAGCTGCTACCTAACATGCGTATAATAGCTGTTGTTATGTTTTACTCTGTCTCCGTGCCGAAGGCATAACAACAAAATAATGAGAGATGGAGAAATAGAAACAGAGAGAAATAACATGGGGGAACCCAGTGCAGAATCCTCCTGTTGCTGCAGAGTAGTCTACACTCTATTTCACTGTGCCTACATCAAAAATGCTTTGACTCTTTAATCAGGTAGGTCCTTAATTTAAATTATCACCAAACCTTGACCTTTCTTTGTATTCAAAGAATGAAGTGTGAATTTACTACATAATTGCTACTACAGTAGTCAGTATAGGAGTCACTTTCTGTAAGGCCTCTGGGCTTTGTTGACCTCTGTTGGAAGGGTCATGATGACTTGCAAACCTCATTTGAGGAATCAGGTTGAATGTATAAAGAAATGCTCACTAAAGAAAAAAGCAATATTTGTTGTAGTAACTCTCACCTCGTTGATGGCTACATAGTAGTGCTGCTGTTGAAAGCGAGGCGTGTTGTCATTTTTGTCCCTGATAACAATGCGGACCTCGTGGAGAATCACTGTCCCAACCAGCTCATTGGTGCACTGGACCTTCACCACGATAGTAGAGATATATGAGGGGGGCTAAGGGCAAGAAAGAAAGAAAGAAAGAAAGAAAGAAAGAAAGAAAGAAAGAAAGAAAGAAAGAAAGAAAGAAAGAAAGAAAGAAAGAAAGAAAGAAAGAAAGAAAGAAAGAAAGAAAGAAAGAAAGAAAGAAAGAAAGAAAGAAAGAGAGAAGGAGAAAAGAGAAAGGGAGAAAAAGAGAAACAGTAAATCAACCAATTTATCAATCAATAAACCGATCAATAAACTGCAGATTATGCAATTATTGTAGAAAAATAGATTGTCACACTGCTCCAAAGCACTTTAACTCAGTAGATCCAAAACACACAAACAAGTTTATATGATAATGGCTAAAAACCAACAAATATGAAGTTTTGGAATGGCCTAGTCAAAGTCCAGACCTAATCCCAATTGAGATGTTGTGGCAGGACTTGAAATGAGCAGTTCATGCTTGAAAATAAATGTCATTGAGTTAAAGCAGTTCTGCATGGAAGAGTGGACCAAAATTCCTCCACAGTGACGTGAGAGACTGATCAACAACTACAGGAAGTGTTTGGTTGGAGTCATTGCAGCTAAAGGTGGCACAACCAGTTATTGAGTGTAAGGGGGCAATTACTTTTTTACACAGGGGCATTGGGTGTTACATAACTTTGTTTATGAAATAAATGAAAAAGGTATGCAATTGTTGTGTTATTTGTTCACTCAGATTCCCTTGATCTAATATTAGGTTTTGGTTGAAGATCTGATAACAGTCAGTATCAAAAACATGCAAAAGTAGAGAAAATTAGAAAGGGGGCAAATATTTTTTCACAGCACTGTATGTCTATGCTTGTGTTTGTAAGCATATCTTAGCAAGACCCTTTGCCTCCACAAACTACAGTATCCCAACCCAACCTGGGGCCGGGTCCATACTCACATCTCTGTCCAGGACACGTCCAGTGCTGTTGAGGAACAGTCTCTGTCTGAGGGGGTCCAGGATGACCCAGTGGGCATAGTTGTCCAGCAGGGTCAGAGAGATGGTCCTGCCTGGGTCTTCTGCTCTCCCGTTGATCTGCATATTCTCCACCAGAACTGTGCCTGCACAGAAGTAGCAGCATGTTATGTTATATTGTAATTTTGCACCCAAAAAAAGTATACATTGAAAATTACATTTATTTAACACATTTATGTTCAGTCTGTAGCCCATGCAAAAATCAAACCTTCAACCATGGTGTTGCAAGCACCATGCCTCAACCAACAGTCATGTTACACAGCAGCATAATGATCAGGGTCTACATACTCTCTAAAACTTCTAAATCCCTTTGCAGAGAAAGTTACATCAAGGCTCATTTGGGCTAGCCCCAGGCATTACCAAATTATGTTCCTCAAGAGCCACTCTTAAGTATCGGATGATTTTCATCCTTGCTTTTTAATCATGATTAGAATCCGACACTGTAGCACTCGAGTACTAGCCAGAAACACAGCATTGGAATTTTGGCCTTGGCATTGGCAAGAGGAATCCAACCAATTGTGCCCTGGTTGATTGGCATGCTTGTTAGGGTACCAGTACTACACCACAACACATCCTGACCTTGTTGATGAGAAGCCACCTTCTCTACAATTTTTGCAAGACAAAATGCATATGTTCAGAAGTAATTCTGCTCCCCGTCTGTAGCAAGGCATATGCAGTATTCACATGATGAGGTTAAAATGAACTTAGTTATAGAACCCTGAACCAAGCCATATGCTGGCAAACTACATTTGTAATGTACTGAGTTTAACACATGCCTCACTGCACTAGCACATAGACGCAAGCAGAGCATTTAGCAATAAAACTAAATAGGATGGTGTGTATCTTTGGAAGTTTTAATCACAGTATAACACGTTATAATTTCATAAGTAAAGAAAATTGCCTAATGCGGCATCATACATGAATGAGTATCCAGGGAGTAGTGATGGCGAGTCAGAGGACTATTATTTATCCATCTCTAAATTCCCCATTAAAGAGTATGGTTCATGTTTGGGGCACAGCATGTTTGATGCAGCTGTGTTGCAATCATGAGGACACATTATCTTCCTTTGACTTGGACACAAACCATTTGAATAATGGATCTTTAAGAATTGTATTTAAAGTGGAAGACAGGTTTGTAAATCTCAAAACAAGGCATGTTCATACATATTTCCACTTCAGTAACTTGAGAGGGAAATCTTTTTGGAATATTTAGGTAATAAATTACTCTTCTGATAATATTACAAATAATATTACTGGGGAGGGAGAGGGAGCCTTGTTGCTTTCTAAAGTTAAGTAGAGAGAGTAAGACAGGCAATGGCCCTCACTATTTCTGTCAATGGAAGATTTATGCACTTCTATGTCTCTATTTTAACAAACCTAACGCAATGGTCATTCTAAGCGCTGGGTGGTAGTGCGATAGGTTCGGGGTATGTCAGAAATATTTTTGCTATTTTCACAAGCACAATTATCAGCGCAGTTGGCTTGGTTTTGATGAATAAACAAGTTGTGAGTGTGTCAAGGCTTGGCCCCTCACTGGCAAATCAGAACGTGCGCCATGGTAAATACACTGCTCAAAAAAATAAAGGGAACACTTAAACAACACAATGTAACTCCAAGTCAATCACACTTCTGTGAAATCAAACTGTCCACTTAGGAAGCAACACTGATTGACAATAAATTTCACATGCTGTTGTGCAAATGGAAATAGACAACAGGTGGAAATTATAGGCAATTAGCAAGACACCCCCAATAAAGGACTGGTTTTGCAGCACAGACCACTTCTCAGTTCCTATGCATCCTGGCTGATGTTTTGGTCACTTTTGAATGCTGGCGGTGCTTTCACTCTAGTGGTAGCATGAGACGGAGTCTACAACCCACACAAGTGGCTCAGGTAGTGCAGCTCATCCAGGATGGCACATCAATGCGAGCTGTGGCAAGAAGGTTTGCTGTGTCTGTCAGCGTAGTGTCCAGAGCATGGAGGCGCTACCAGGTGACAGGCCAGTACATCAGCAGACGTGGAGGAGGCCGTAGGAGGGCAACAACCCAGCAGCAGGACTGCTACCTCCGCCTTTGTGCAAGGAGGAGCAGGAGGAGCACTGCCAGAGCCCTGCAAAATGACCTCCAGCAGGCCACAAATGTGCATGTGTCTGCTCAAATGGTCAGAAACAGACTCCATGAGGGTGGTATGAGGGCCCGACGTCCACAGGTGGGGGTTGTGCTTACAGCCCAACACCGTGCAGGACGTTTGGCATTTGCCAGAGAACACCAAGATTGGCAAATTCGCAAATGGCACCCTGTGCTCTTCACAGATGAAAGCAGGTTCACACTGAGCACATGTGACAGACGTGACAGAGTCTGGAGACGCCGTGGAGAACGTTCTGCTGCCTGCAACATCCTCCAGCATGACCGGTTTGGCGGTGGGTCAGTCATGGTGTGGGGTGGCATTTCTTTGGGGGGCCGCACAGCCCTCCATGTGCTCGCCAGAGGTAGCCTGACTGCCATTAGGTACCGAGATGAGATCCTCAGACCCCTTGTGAGACCATATGCTGGTGCGGTTGGCCCTGGGTTCCTCCTAATGCAAGACAATGCTAGACCTCATGTGGCTGGAGTGTGTCAGCAGTTCCTGCAAGAGGAAGGCATTGATGCTATGGACCGCCCGTTCCCCAGACCTGAATCCAATTGAGCACATCTGGGACATCATGTCTCGCTCCATCCACCAACGCCACGTTGCACCACAGACTGTCCAGGAGTTGGCGGATGCTTTAGTCCAGGTCTGGTAGGAGATCCCTCAGGAGACCATCCGCCACCTCATCAGGAGCATGCCCAGGCGTTGTAGGGAGGTCATACAGGCACGTGGAGGCCACACACACTACTGAGCCTCATTTTGACTTGTTTTAAGGACATTACATCAAAGTTGGATCAGCCTGTAGTGTGGTTTTCCACTTTAATTTTGAGGGTGACTCCAAATCCAGACCTCCATGGGTTGATACATTTGATTTCCATTGATAATTGTTGTGTGATTTTGTTGTCAGCAAATTCAACTATGTAAAGAAAAAAGTATTCATTCATTTCATTCATTCAGATCTAGGATGTGTTATTTTAGTGTTCCCTTTTTTTTAGCAGTGTATATGGTTGCTTCAAGTTGTGTACTTATGGTCTTTTATGTATTGCCTTGGCATCAACTCCAATGTTAGTCTGTTATAGTTTGTTAAACAGCTTACAGAAACAAAATAACAAAATGTAGACCTATCCCATCTTTTCTAAATATGTTAACTTGAACCTGTTTGCAGTCCACATTGTTGTAAGTAATTGCATGGCTTCAAAATAAAACATATACATAGCATTCTCACTTACATAGGGGCTAGGCCTACTGTTAATTGCATTATGGCCGAGCATGGACATGCCAAATGTTTTCAATAAGCAAGATTAAATTCACAAAAAATAGAGTGAATACTAAACTAAACGTAACAACAACTTGTTTTAAATAGGATGTGTCTAAATACACTTACAGTCACCATAATTGCTTCCAATGGGCATATAATATTAAAACAGCGCAGAATATGGTGGGTGTGACAAGGTGAGGTAGGGCCCAGGAGCAGTGTAGCGGATGATTTGGACGGAGTCAGGCGCAGTAGGTGTAAATCCCAGAATAATGGTTTATTCGGCCAATACAGCGGTTCGCAGCAATGAGTAAAAAAACGACAGTGCGACTTAAAGGCGCACTGGGGAAAACAAAATATAATGTACATAATGCTCCACTGAGCTATCGTCACCTCCACATGGAAACAATCACCCACAAAGACATTGGGGGCAGAGGGAATACTTATACAAGGACTGATGAGGGGATATGAACCAGGTGTGTGTAAAAAAAAAAAGACAAAACTAATGGAATGATGAGAAGAGGAGCGGTAGTGGCTAGAAGGCCGGTGACAACGAACGCCGAAGCCTGCCCGAACAAGGAGAGGAGGCAGCTTCGGAGGAAGTTGTGATAAGCAGAGAAGAGAACCAGACGAGGAACCAGTGGTTTAGAATAAACCTACAGTGGGGAAGAAAAGTATTTAGTCAGCCACCAATTGTGCAAGTTCTCCCACTTAAAAATATGAGAGAGGCCTGTCATTTTCATTATAGGTACACGTCAACTATGACAGACAAATTGAGAAAAAAATATCCAGACAATCACATTGTAGGATTTTTAATGAATTTATTTGCAAATTATGGTGGAAAATAAGTATTTGGTCACCTACAAACAAGCAAGATTTCTGGCTCTCACAGACCTGTAACTTCTTCTTTAAGAGGCTCCTCTGTCCTCCACTCGTTACCTGTATTAATGGCACCTGTTTGAACTTGTTATCAGTATAAAAGACACCTGTCCACAACCTCAAACAGTCACACTCCAAACTCCACTATGGCCAAGACCAAAGAGCTGTCAAAGGACACCAGAAACAAAATTGTAGACCTGCACCAGGCTGGGAAGACTGAATCTGCAATAGGTAAGCAGCTTGGTTTGATGAAATCAACTGTGAGAGCAATTATTAGGAAATGGAAGACATACAAGACCACTGATAATCTCCCTCGATCTGGGGCTCCACGCAAGATCTCACCCCGTGGGGTCAAAATTATCACAAGAACGGTGAGCAAAAATCCCAGAACCACAAATAACAAAACCTACCATCAGTAACACACTACGCCGCCAGGGACTCAAATCCTGCAGTGCCAGACGTGTCCCCCTGCTTAAGCTAGTACATGTCCAGGCCCATCTGAAGTTTGCTAGAGTGCATTTGGATGATCCAGAAGAGGATTGGGAGAATGTCATATGGTCAGATGAAACCAATATAGAACTTTTTGGTAAAAACTCAACTCGTCGTGTTTGGAGGACAAAGAATACTGAGTTGCATCCAAAGAACATCATACCTACTGTGAAGCATGGGGGTGGAAACATCATGCTTTGCGGCTGTTTTTCTGCAAAGGGACCAGGACGACTGATCCGTGTAAAGGAAAGAATGAATGGGGCCATGTATCGTGAGATTTTGAGTGAAAACCTCCTTCCATCAGCAAGGGCATTGAAGATGAAACATGGCTGGGTCTTGACAATGACAATGATCCCAAACACACCGCTCGGGCAACGAAGGAGTGGCTTCGTAAGAAGCATTTCAAGGTCCTGGAGAGGCCTAGCCAGTCTCCAGATCCCAACCCCATAGAAAATCTTTGGAGGGAGTTGAAAGTCCGTGTTGCCCAGCGACAGCCCCAAAACATCACTACTCTGGAGGAGATCTGCATGGAGGAATGGGCCAAAATACCAGCAACAGTGTGTGAAAACCTTGTGAAGACTTACAGAAAATGTTTGACCTGTGTCATTGCCAACAAAGGGTATATAACAAAGTATTGAGAAACTTTTGTTATTGACCAAATACTTATTTTCCACCATAATTTGCAAATAAATGTATTAAAAATCCTACAATGTGATTTTCTGGAATTTATTTTTTCATTTTGTCTGTCATAGTTGACGTGTACCTATGATGAAAATTACAGGCCTCTCTCATCTTTTTAAGTGGGAGAACTTGCACAATTGGTGGCTGACTAAATACTTTTTTCCCCCACTGTAAATACTTTACTGGGGGAAAAATCAACAGTAAGTACAAAGTAAAACTTGGGAAGACAACAAACATTATGACTCAAAAACTCACTCAGGAGTCAAACACACATGGCAAACAAATCAAGCTTCTGCAAAGTGTAATAGAAAACACACCTCTCTAAAAGGAAATCATATTTAGTAACTGAAAACACAGAGGTTCTCTTGTTTCATGATGGGCATGGACACATGTAGCCTACATCATGGAGGGGGTTTTACGCACGTCCAAAGCATGGCAAAAATAATGTAGGCCTGCCTACAATAGATATATAAAAAGGGAATGTCAGCTCACTGTTTAGCTCCTCTCAAATGTGATCTTTTAATAAAGCTTTGGTGATTAAGATTTATTTCCAAGTGGTCTCACGAGCCAAACACTTTATCAACGGTCTTGACTAGCCTACTTCATTACATCGAGCAGGACAAAAAGAAAACATTACTGTTTTATGTTTCTAAATACGAAGTATACAGGCACCAAAAGCACATCTTGTTCCATGTGCATAATGGGCAGTGTGTGTCAAGGCTGGATAGGCTGTGTTTCCATCATCAAAATTAATTCCACAACCAACTACCGCTAAAACCAACTTTTGGTTGGTCTTAAATATCCCTACCATCACTGTCTGAAATTAGCACTTTGTATCATGTTTTTACGGATTCAAATATTTCCACCCCTCCCATCTGAGCCCAAGCATGCTGATGTTAGACAGGTAAATTTCTGAACCTGGCGTTAGGGCTGGAAAATGCCAGTGCAACAGTTTTTACATTGCGAAATAGCAAACTAACATGCATTTGACACTAGCACCACCTTAACACCAGCCCAAACATAAAGCACTTAGTCACTTACTCTCTCAAGCTAATACTTACAAAACTCACAAAGGAAAGAGGTCATGTTGACACGCTCACACAAGATAAAGTAAACTTCTGCAAGGGGTGAGAGGCCTTGATAAAACAAATTCTACAGAAACGTTCCACCTATTGGTTTCTCTCCACACTCTTAGAAAAAAGGGTTCCAAAAGGGTTATTTGCGGAAGGATGGGGTTCTACAAGAACCGTTTTGATCAGAAGTACCCTTTTTGGAAGACATGGGTTCTTTACAAGGCAAAGTGTTCTACCTAGAACCTTTAACATCATAAGAACCATTTTTGGAAGAAAGGGTTCTTTGATGATTCTTTGGAAGGCAATAATGATTATTTGGAAGGGAAGAAGGGTTCTACATAGAACCATACAGTTGAAGTCGGAAGTTTACATACACTTAGGTTGGAGTCATTAAAACTTGTTTTTCAACCACTCCACACATTTCTTGTTAACAAATTATCGTTTTGGGAAGTCGGTTAGGACATCTACTTTGTGCATGACACAAGTAATTTTTCCAACAATTGTTTACAGACAGATTATTTCACTTATAATTCACTGTATCACAATTCCAGTGGGTCAGAAGTTTACATACGTTAAATTGACTGTGCCTTTAAACAGCTTGGAAAATTCCAGAAAATGATGTCATGGCTTTAGAAGCTTCTGATAGGCTAATTGACATCATTTGAGTCAATTGGAAGTTTACCTGTGGATGTATTTCAAGGCCTACCTTCAAACTCAGTGCCTCTTTGCTTGACATCATGGGAAAATCAAAAGAAATCACCAAAGACCTCAGAATTTTTATTTTTGACCTCCACAAGTCTGGTTCATCCTTGGGAGCAATTTCCAAATGCCTGAAGGTACCACGTTCATCTGTCCAAACAATACTACGCAAGTATAAACACCATTGGACCACGCAGCCATCATACCGCTCAGGAAGGAGACGCGTTCTGTCTCCTAGAGATGAACGTACTTTGGTGTGAAAAGTGAAAATCAATCCCAGAACAACAGTAAAGGACCTTGTGAAGTTGCTGGAGGAAACAGGTACAAAAGTATCTATATCCACAGTAAAACAAGTCCTATATCGACATAACCTGAAAGGCCGCTCAGCAAGGAAGAAGCCACTGCTCCAAAACCGCCATAAAAAAGCCAGACTATGGTTTGCAACTGCACATGGGGACAAAGATCGTACTTTTTGGAGAAATGTCCTCTGGTCTGATGAAACAAATATAGAACTGTTTGGCCATAATGACCATCGTTATGTTTGGAGGAAAAAGGGGAAAGCTTGCAAGCCGAAGAACACCATCCCAACCGTGAAGCACGGGGGTGGCAGCATCATGATGTGGGGGTGCTTTGCTGCAGGAGGGACTGGTTTACTTCACAAAATAGATGGCATCATGAGGAAGGAAAATTATGTGGATATATTGAAGCAACATCTCAAGACATCAGTCAGGAAGTTAAAGCTTGGTCGCAAATGAGTCTTCCAAATGGACAATGACCCCAAGCATACTTCCAAAGTTGTGGCAAAAAGGCTTAAGGACAACAAAGTCAAGGTATTGGAGTGGCCATCACAAAGCCCTGACCTCAATCCTATAGAAAATGTGTGGGCAGAACTGAAAAAGCGTGTGTGAGCAAGGAGGCCTACAAACCTGACTCAGTTACACCAGCTCTGTCAGGAGGAATGGGCCAAAATTCACCCAACTTATTGTGGGAAGCTTGTGGAAGGCTACCCGTAATGTTTGACCCAAGTTAAACAATTTAAGGGCAATGCTACCAAATACTAATTGAGTGTATGTAAACTTCTGACCCACTGGGAATGTGATGAAATAAATAAAAGCTGAAATAAATCTTTCTCTCTACTATTATTCTGACATTTCACATTCTTAAAATAAAGTGGTGATCCTAACTGACCAAAAACAGGGAATTATTACTAGGATTAAATGTCAGGAATTGTGAAAATCTGAGTTTACATGTATTTGGCTAAGGTGTATGTAAACTTCCGACTTCAACTGTATATAATATTTCCCAGCATGCTCTATTGCAGGGAGATTTTCAGAATTTGTTTTACTGTAATATCTGTGTTTTTGCATGTACATTGATTGGTTGATTCATGTTATGCTACACAAAGACAAATAACATACAGTTTTCTAAACTAATCCAATCTGTTAGTAATTGGATTTAATGCACCCGTTACTGAAATGGTTGTTCCAGTTTAGATGATTGAGGTAGTCTCAGTATTCATTCTTCCCTACCCTGGCACTCATTCTGAATGCAGGTTGTGGGTGATTAACAATTCTAATTGTTGGATATCCTAACTCTGGTTGGATTCCAATAGGAATTACACATCACTTTGCAAGCCAGCATAATGTGATTTGCAGGCCTGATGTGGCCAGTAAAACAGAAGGTCCCTAACACCACTGTGTTAGGGTATAACTAGGCCATCAAAGACAGGCATTATGATATACACTGAGTATACACAACATTAATATCACCTGCTTTTTCCATGACATAGAATGACTAGGTAAATCCAGATTAAAGCTATGATCCCTTATTGATGTCACTTGTTAAATCAATTTCAATCAGTGCAGATAAAGAGGAGACAGGTTAAAGAAGGATTTTTAAGCCTTGAGACAATTGAGACATGGATTGTGTATGTGTTCCATTCAGAGGGTGAATGGGCAAGACAAAAGATTTAAGTGCCTTTGAACAGTGTATGGTAGTAGGTGCCAGGCACACCGGTTTGTGTCAAGAACTGCAACACTGATGGGTTTTTCACGCTCAACAGTTTCCTGTGTGTATCAAGAATGGTCCACCACCCAAAGGACATCCAGCCAACTTGACACAACTGTGGGAAGCATTGGAGTCAACATGGGCCAGCATCCCTGTGGAACACTTTCGACACCTTGTAGAGTCCATGCCCCGACCTCGGTGTGTGCAACTCAATATTAGGAAGGTGTTCCTAATGTTTGGTATACTCAGTGTATGTAATGTATTGTCATAAATAATGACATTTTAAAGGCAAATCAGGCTGGTGGAACCGTTCATAGAGGGTTCTAGGAAGAACCCTCCAAATATAAAAGGGTTCTCAGTAGAACCCTTCTTAGAGGGTTCTAGGCAGAACTCTTCATAGAGGGTTCTAGGTATAACCATATACAGGGGGTTCATTGAAGAACCCTACATAGAGGGTTCTAGATAGAACCGTTTGCAAAGGGTTCTAACCAGCACCAAAAAGGGTTCCCCTATGGGGACAAACCAAAGAACCCTGTATGGTTCTACTTATCACCTTTTTTTCTAATAGTGCACTCACTTAAAGACAGGGTCATTCTCCACTGACCACCTCACCTCCTGAGCATATAATCTATTCCAGACATCACAGTGTGACCAGCCCACTTTTATTCCAAATATCAAAAGACACTCTGCAGCATCCCAGAACCATGCTACCAGACAGGGCTGACACTGAAAATCCCAGAAGCTATGGGAAGGTCTGTAGATGGAATTGTACTTCACTAGATTTTATATGGTTATGTTTCAAACAATAGGTATGCAATTCAAAGTTAATATAGACAATTTTCTCTAATTGAGAGGCCAGGCGCCAAGGGCAGTCAGTGCCTTTGCGTGAGTTTTGTAGATATTGAAGATATATTAAAGATAATACCTTTCATAAGGTGTAAGCCTTGATGACTCATAACTGACTGTCTAGACTCACGATATCTTAGACTTTGGACCAATATAGTAAATCCCAGGATAATTACAGTACAGGAGCTAAGGTTTACCAAAGGCTTTGAAGTTAGTGGGAGGAAAATCTAAAGATTAGTGAAAAAATACTAATCAATAAGCACTTAAGTTGTTCTGTACTGAAGTCCAACCAAGACTAGGTTTAATTTTGTTTGATCTTTAAAATAATCCAATAAACATGATATGTTCCACGCAATAAGCAGTAATAGCCTGAACAGAAAAGTAATGAGTGTCCTCAATCCACTAAAAAAACCCATGCTGTAAGAAACAATCCAATACTTAGACTTTTCAAGACCAGAAGTCTTGTATAAGAGGTTGTGTAAGAAGTAAGATTTTCCTCTATTACAGACACGGTGGATCAAACTCTGTGTCCAATTGGATGTGTCAGTGGCTTGGGTTTGGCAACCACTGTCGACCCCTGCAGTTTCACACCCTGGACCCTTTAGCACCCATCAATCAGGTGTGAATGGGGAGAGTGAGCAAAGCTGCACTGATACACAAATAGCATAGGCTATGTATTGTAGACACAGGCACGTGTATACTCGCAAACACACACACAAAAACACAAACACACTCATACAGTTTACACATAGCAGAGATTGATATTAAGCGGTTCAAAAGCATTTTTTACATATGTCACTCTTGACACATGGACTGTGTCAAAACCCCTTTTAAGATAACATAGTGGCATGCTACAATGCACAGGATGTCCTTGGTGTAAGTGACACTAATATTACCGCTATACTGTACGTGTAAGTTAAAGGGGCAATCTGCTGTTTAAACAAAAACAAAGCACCACTCTTTCAACGTTTTGGTAAAGAGCTGAGAGATGGGGCAAAATAAATGTTACCACACTTAAATTCATAGACAGCGCCATGGATGCAAGAACTCACGGACTCAATATGTGTGCAATAATAGTGTTTAACATGATTTTTGAATGTCTATCTTGTTGCTGTATCCCACACATGCAATTATCTGTAAGGTCCCTCAGTTGAGCAGTGAATTTCAAACACAGATTCAACCACAAAGACCAGGGATTTTTTCCATTACCTTGCAAAGAAGGCCACCTATTGGTTGATGGGTATAAATAAAAAAAGCAGACATTGAACATCCCTTGGTCAAGTTATTAATTACACTTTGGATGGTGTATCAATACACCCATTCACTACAAAGATACATGAGTCCTTCCTAACTCAGTTGCCGGAGAGGAAGGAAACCCCTCAGGGATTTCACCATGAGGCCAATGGTGGCTTTAAAACATAGTTTAATGGCAGTGATAGGAGAAAACTGAGGATGTATCAACAACATTGTAGTTACTCCACAATACTAACCTAATTGACAGAGTGAAAAGAAGGAAGCCGGTATATAATACAAATATTCCAAAACATGCACCTGTTTTCAACAAGGCACTAAAGTAATACTGCAAAAAATGTGGAATACAAAGTGTTATGTTTTGGGCAAATCCAATTCAACACATTACTGAGTTCCACTTTCCATATTTTCAAGCATAGTGGTGGCTGCATCATCTTATGGGTATGCTTGTAATCATTATGGACTGGGGAGTTTTTCAGGATAAAAAAGAAAAGGAATAGAGCACAGGCAAAATCCTAGAGGAAAATCAGGTTCAGTCTGCTTCAGACACTGGGAGATGAACTCAACTTTCAACAGGACAATAACCTAAAACACAAGGCCAAATTAACATTAGAGCTGCTTACCAAGAAGACAGTGAGTGGCCGAGTTACAGTTTTGACTTAACTCTACTTGAAAATGTATGGCGAAACCTGAAAATGGTTTGACAGAAGAATTGAAGAATTCTGAAAAGAAAAATTGGCAAATGTTGCACAATCCAGGTGTGGAAAGCTCTTAGAGACTTACCCAGAAAGACTCACAGCTGTAATCGTTGCCAAAGGTGCTTCTACAAAGTATTGACTCAGGGGTGTGAATACTTATGTAAATGAGATATTTATGTATTTCATTTTCAATAAATGTGCAAACATTTATAAAAACATGTTTCACATTGTGGGGTATTGTGCGCAGATGCGTGAGAAAAAAAACATATATTTAATCCATTTTGAAATCAGGCTGTAACACAACAAAATATGGAATAACTCAAGGAGTAGGAATACTTTCTGAAGAAACTGTCATTGAGTGTGAGTTCTCTCAGCTTGACCCTCGTTCGCTGATCTTCAGCCTCACACACAAAGAAATGCAAGCACACACACACACACACATACCAGCTGCTAAGTGATCCGCCTTGCAATGCCCACTGCCACCTACATGTGTGCTAAGCCACCGCCTCCAACTGAGCATGAGATGTCGCATTCCAAAATGATTAACAATTACTACAGCTGAAGTAATTTGATCCATAGAAAACATCTGTCTGTTTATACATTAATGACAAAGTAAACTAGAACTACTGAGCCAAATGATAAGAAAATATGAGGGAACAGCTGTTTAGTAGCCTGCTGTGTATAGAGTAGGAAACAAGTGAAAACCTCCAAATGAAATGAGTCAATGCAAAGCAGCTGAATTGAGCAACAGACCATACCAGAACCAGACATTTTCTATTGTTTCGGCAAACAAAATCTCCACATAAATCCGCTAACCCACCATGTCCCTCAGATGACACTGACACAGTCTGTTGGAGTCTTGTTCGTTTTCTCATTCAAGGCACAGGGGCCCAAGATGCAAGGGTTAGTTAAAAAATTAAACAACTTCATTGCATTAAATGATTTATTCAAAGACCAGCTATATTTCTCATAGACAGCATAATCCCCTTGTTACGTACATTTTCTAAATGAGATTATTCTATAGGGTCCAGATTAGCTGCATCTCCCTCTGCACCACATCCCCTTTCACCCATAGTGTCTAATGAGCGACTTTGGTTTATTGACTTTCATTGTTCCACTAAATATTTTCACATCCATGAAAGTGGTATTGTATGAGAACTTCAGGGTCTTTATTCAGGGAACTTGTGAGCATCCCACAAGCTAAATCTGCATGGAGAGTGAAAGCCTTCTGATTAGCTTTGTGTTGTAAGTAAAGCTCAGTCACACTCTCAGTCCTGACAACGAGACTCAAGACATGCTCTCAACAATGCAAGTCTATTAAACACAGACACATACAATCTTAAGGAGAATGCAGACAAAAAGACAAGCTCTCTCTCATTCTATCACTCTCTCTCTTTCACCCTCTTTCATTCTCTCTATGCTCCCTCTCCTTCTTCCTTTATTTCTCTCTCTCTCTCTCTCTCTCTCTCTCTCTCCTCTCTCTCTCTCTCTCTCTCTCTCTAATCTCTCTCCCTACTCTCTCTCTCTACTCTCTCTCTGTTCACTCCATTCGGTTGTGAGTAACTGGGAGGATTTTGTGATTACTTTCCAGACATAAGCCTTGACTGGAGAGATCAAGGCTGTTGAAGATGGACTAGTTTCATTCTCTGCCTCGCCACAGCTGCTCCATGGATGGCAATGAGCTTCTTAACAATGCCTCTGCAGCACACCTTATCACTCCTATTTGGGCTTATTACCACTATCTGAACCCATAACGTAGAAGTTATACTTCTCATCTCCACTGTATTATTTGCATCTGCACAAACGCTTCCTTCCTTGCTTCCTTCACATGATGCAACTCTTCACAGAGACAACACTTTTTGTGGTCCTCCCAGCTGAGTATGAGGAAATGTTATAGTTAACTAAGTTTTAGCAAGAGACAGGAAGTTTGCAAGCCCTTCCACATCAGAGCCGGTGTAGTAGGATTCGATATTAGTCCTTCATTGACGCTTTGCCTGTTTGATGGTTCGCCGGAGGGCGTAGCGGGATTTCTTATAAGCATGCGGATTAATGTCCCACTCCTTGCAAGCGGCATCTCTAGCCTTTAGCTCAGTATGGATGTTGCCTGTAATCCATGGCTTCTGGTTGGGATATGTACATACGGTAACTGTGGGGACGACATCATCGATGCACTTGTAGTATCTGAGGGTTTCATATTGTTGGTTAAATGAACTTTACTTTACTTTGCTGAAACATCTGGAAAGTATTACTATAGGGGCCCCCTAAAACAGTGGACATTGGGATAAGTGGAGGCCAGGGATTGGTCTATTCAAAACACACCATCTTATGTTACATAGGGCATAGGGTATATATATAACATATTTGAACAAAGGAAGGAGAGAGTGATCATATTTGAGATTGGGTTTGTTGCTCTCCAGATTCTGCAGAAGTCTGTATATTGATGCTGAAATCTTTGATATAATAAACCATTATAATTAAGTACAGTGTCAGCTGATTTCTTATCAACACATCATCGCAGCATCGTTTGGCCACCAAAGAAATTGGCGACAAGGATTTTGGGACGAGTTGCGTCTGTTTCAGCGTTACATCATGGGCTCCGAACTGACTCCCGCTCCAGAGGCCGGCAGATAAGGTAAGCTTTCTCACAACTTTGGGCGCTGGTCAGTTCGTGTGGCTGTGTGTGCGTTGAAGGAATGCACCGTGAAGAACCTGTGTGTGCCATGCTGTGATTGCTGTGTGATGAGATTCTGTTCTAAATTTCTACATTTGTTTGCGTTGGAAACAACGCAAACAGGGGGGAGTATGAATATGATAAAGGATCTAAGGAAAAAAGGAATTGATAACACTGAGCCCAGGGAAATTTGGCTTGAATAAAATTAAAGGAAAAAGGAATAGAATAAAGGAATAAGGGACAAAGAACTAAGGAAAAAGGTATACTGATTAGGACGTCGCTGATCTACGGAAGCCCTCAAATGAGGCGATCATTAGATGGGCCACAAATCTGGGAAGTCACTAGGTGAATTTTCGGGTCAGTTCCAAGGGACTGTGAGTTTGTAGAATACACATTCAATTGTATGTTACCTTTCTTTGAAAAAAAAAAAAAAGGGGGAAAAAAAAAGGTAAAAAAAAAAAAAAAAGGAAAAATTTTTTTTAAAAAAAAAAAAAATTCAAAGGGCCCCCCCCGGGGGGGAAAAAAAAAAAAAGGGAAAATTTGGGGGTTTTGGGGGGGGGGTTATTTTTAAAAATTAAATTTTTTTTTTTAAAAATTTTTTTTTTTGGGGGTTAAAACCAAAGGAAAAATTTTAAAACCCTCTCTTTAAATTTCCCCGGGGTGCACACATTTAGGAAGGAAAATAAAGGAATAAAGGGGGGCGGGGCGGGGAAAAACATGCTTTTGGAAAATTTTATGAATTTGGGTGCATTCTTGTTGATTGAAAGTTTTCAGTGTGAGAGAGGAAAAAAGGGGTGTTTTGTTTTGCGGGAAAAAAAAAAGATTTTCTTGCTTTGTTTAGCTGTGTGGATTGTTTCAAAAGGGGTTAATTTAAAATTAAAAATAATAATTTTGCCATTTAAACGGGCGCTTTTATCCAAAACGAACTTACAAAAAGTTTCGGGCATACATTTTTGTTTGGTTTTGGGTGGTCCGGGGAAACGAAAACCCCCTTTCCTTGGCGGTTTTCAAGCGCCGTTTCTCTTTCCCTGAGTACAGCCAACTAAACTTATTAAGATTTTAGGGTTTGAAAATATATTTCTAATAGTTTTTGGGTTTAGAACAAGGGTTTTTGTTTTTTTAAGGAAAAAATGTTTTAATTACGGGTTTTTTTAAAAAAAGGTAAAGAAATCCCATTTACGGAAGGGGAAAAGTTTTTTTTTAAAATTTTTTTTGGTTTTTTTTTTTTTTAAAAAATTTTATGAGCCCCCCCGGGGGGACGGGTTTTTTTGATTGTTTTTAGGGGAGGATTTTAAAGGAAAAAGAAAAAAAAACTAATTTAAAAACTGCAAGGGGTGGAGTTAAAAAATGGGGTGAAGAAAAGGGGGAGAAGGGGGAAAAAAAAAGACCTAAAGTTTAAAATTTAAGTAACTTCGAAAGTAGAATTTTGGGTTTTTGGTTTTTTGTGTTTTTTTGTGCGTTTTGTTCGTGTTACTGTTTTTTGTATGTGTGGTAAATGTGTTTTTTTTTTTGGAAAAAAAACCCGGGGGGGAAAAACAGTGGTCTGTCTTTCTGTTTGACCGAGAAAAAATTTTTCCTTTTGGGGGGTGTCATTTTCACTCTGAAGGACACCCTAATAAAGAATTTGGGGGGAGTTCTAGTGGGGTTTCCTTGGGGGAGTTCAGGGGTTTTTTAGTTTAAAAAGGGGCGGGAAAAAATGGCCCCCTCCGCCGCACTGAGGCCCTTTTGACAAGCAGAATTTTTTAGCTGAAAAAATAAGGGGGGGGGATTTGAAACAAAATGAATAAAATATTCGGTCTGTTTTTAAACGGTGTTTTCTTGACTAAAAAAAAAAACATTAAATTTTATTTATTACTACAAAGTTTAAAATTGTTTGTTTGGGTTTAAATAACCCAGTGGCACATAAAATACTAAATTTTTTGTCTTTTTGGGTTTCTTTTGTTTTTCCCGTGGGGGGGAAAAAAAAGAGGGAAAGGAGGGGGGGGCAGAGGGGAGAGGAGGTTGGGGGATTTACCCGTTTGGGCAGTGAAAGGGGTGCTTTTCCCGGATCCAGTCCAATTAAAAGGAAAGTTTTTTTATGCCTAAAAATTTCAGGTTTTTGACCCCCTTTTAAACAGGGGGCGTGGGGGAAAATACTGTTTAATTTAGTAAATTTAGAATTGCCCCCATTGAATTTTTTTTTTTTCCCTGGGTTTTTTTTGATTTTTGAGTTGTTTTGGAAAAACCCGCACTTTAGATTTTTTGTTTAAAAAAAAGGTGGGTAGGGTGTTATTAAAACAATTTGTTTTTTGGG